GAAAGCCTGAGTCATGTTTTGCCCGAGACCATGTTTGGTGGGTGCTCCCTTTCGGTTCTTGTCTCGACCCTCAGTCCAAAAAAAAAAAACCACGACATGCTCTTACTTTTTCCACAGTAACTTTAGGCAGGGTCATAAAAGTAGAAAGAGGACAAAACAAGACGTTATGACAGCGTATAAATCTGTGGTTCACCTCTCTCTGAAGTACTGTGTAGCACTCTGTCCTCCTCACCCGAAGGATACAACAGAACTGGAGAAGGCCCTTATCAGCAAAGCCAATGATCAAAGGTAAGATGAATAACTGTTTTAAGCTATTGTCTCTTTTCTAGATTTAATGTGTGCACACTGAATGCAATAGAGGTCTACTGAACTGTGAGCTGTATTAAAAGGCTGGATGGAGGCAAGCTGCTTAATGTAAGAACTAGGCGAAAACACTGGGATGCTGGAAAGAAGCTTAAGAAAAAACAGAAGTGGTGGTTCTTAATGTGGTGGGGGAAAATCTGTGGAACTCTTCTACTTAAAAATGTTGGTGCCAGAAGTTTATATGGACAAGTCCACAGACGAGAAAGCTGTTGTATATCAAGGAACTTACATACAGCTCTGGAAGCACTCCGAATTGAAACTATTTAGAGGTTGGAAGAGTATTAGGGGAGGAAGCGTTATTTACATTTATCTTATTCTCATATTTTGCTGGGCATTGCTTATGAGCACTTGTGGCGTAAGACTCTGGGCGAGATGGACCTTGGTCTGCCCCAACAGAGCCACTCCTAGGTGTGTGTACAATTGCATTGCTGTTCTTGGACAGACAGCTTTCAGATTCAGTTGCTATTAAGGCGTCAGCAAGGATAAAGGAGTTTAAGGATCGAGTGAGGTGGGTTTTTTTTAGTCTGTTAAGAGACATTTAAAAGGAATTTGTTTCAAGTAGGGGATGTAATTTTCTTATAGAGAACTACAACATACTAATTATAACTGAAATAAATGTAAGCAAGCCTGCAAATCCACAACACTTCTCACTCTGCTACTGGAAGATTTTTATCCAGATGAGAGCTGCAGGACTTAAGAGAACTGTTAACAGAAACACTGGATAGATATTGACAGTAGCCCTAGTTCAGCAGTCCTACTGACACCAAAAGCAATGCCTTTATTGCTGTTCATCAAAGACCCCAGAGATAGAGGAAAGAGCTCATAATAGAATTATGCCCAATGTTGACAGCCATTAAAAAGATAAACCACACACTTCACTCAGAAAGGACATAAGTCTTGGTGTTCAACCAAAATACAATCAATCAGTAACATTTTATACCTAACTCATTTCACATTATGTTTTTTGCTTCAATGCCCAAGAGCACTACTTGGGCACTCAGTTACAGACAGAAGGGAATGCAAATTTGATCAAGGGTTTAGTGAATGTTCAGTTTAAGTCAAAGGCCCACAAGCAACTACAACAAAATGTTATGTTGTTTTATAGTTCAGGTCAAAAGGAAAATTTATCAGTGCTAACAGGAGTCCAAAGAAAGCCCACTAGGAGACAGATGTGTAAGGCTAACTCTACAGAGGACAAAGTCATCGTGGAATAAAAAGCCTTTTATTAGATTTTTACAAAATGTAAAAAAAAAAAATTCACCTCATTTATTGGATATATGCAATATATAAACTTACACATTCCTACCCACTACCTCACAGATTCATGGTTTGTCTGTTACTTCCTTCAAAGAGAAAGAACACCTCTGTTTCTGTGCCAAAAAACAGATGAAGGCTCACCTGTTTCTTCTTTCTCTGCTGATTTCAATCCTAAAAAGCAGATGGTGTGACAACAGTAGATTCACAGAAGTTATGATTTCCTGATACAGTTTCTCTAGCAGTGAAGTCTCTTTGTGAAGCTTTTCCCCCCACAGTTATCCTGGTTTCACTCTTGGGAAGTGTTTTGCTTTTCTCTTGTTAAAGCCAAGGTGATTTTGTTGTTTCTGTTCAATGAACAGCCCCACTAAATCAGCAAAAATACTCTCCAGCACAGTAAGGGCTGAGGAACTTCGCATCATCTGGGGAGTCATAACTGGGAACTGCATTCTCAGGCTTTGTCATCTATTTCAAATATCAACAGTTCTTTTTCATTAGCCCAATGCATTCCACTTGAAGCT